GTCATTAGCACCTCTAGTAATATATTTACTGAGAAAAATGGTGACGTGTTCAATACTTATTTTACCCACTGTATATAGTACTTTGTCATGCAGACTCCAGAGCGCTTAATTCTTAGAGTCATTCACCCATTCACACACACATTCATAAGGATGGTGGAAAGCTACATTGTAGCCACAGCTGCCCTGGGGCACACTGACAGCACAGGACACAACGACTGAGACAGCTTGACTGGGGGATCGAACCGTCAACCTTCCGGTTACYGGACAACTCCCCTAACCACTCCACCACAGCTGCAGAAACTGCACTGTTATTGCCCACCAGTGGAACAAAAGGGTTAAGAAGTGCTGGTAAACAGAAAAATACTTTTTAATTTTTTACCAGACAAGAGGACACAATAAGCAGTCTTTTTTGACTTTATTAGTAAAACTTTGAAAGAGGTTTAATGATTTCATGTTGTTGAGCTGTCCAGACATGTAAAAATAAATGATTTTTTAAATAAAATGTCACTTTACACAACACAGTAGACCTTTCACTTAGCGACCAAGAACATTCAAAGCACAGACTGAGCCCAGTTTACCTCTGCACTTTTCATTTACAGTAATTTGATTGGGTTCAGRCCTCAGTTCTCCATCAGAGTCAGTCTCTTCTGGTTTCCAGGGAAAAGCCGGTGAACACGCAGGTCAATACTGCTCCCAAATCCATGCATTTCATTTCAATATAATAGGATGTCAGTGTGGTAAATGAGAGTGGTAAAAGTCATGTAGTGCTTCCATCATTCTGTGGGGAATGACTGATGATTATCTTGCCTTGTCATTGAACAGACAATCAATGGTATGATGGAAAATTTCATAAAGAAATACTTTATAGCTGTCAAATTTGGTTTAACTATATCATTAAATTAAAAAAAGACTTTTATATCAAATGAAACAAACTCAGTTATTACAAAAATTCATTTTTTATATTATTTTCAACCTTCCTTTATGAGGAGCACACACGGGATGTACACAAGCAAGGTAATTCAAAGAAAACAATCACTGTTTTGTCATAATCTACTTCACCTGATTCTGACCTCAATATGTTAGCTCAGCCTCCTGTGTCACTGAGATGTTATTGTGAGATTTAACAGCAGATTTTAAATGATTTATTTTCATTTTTACTAAAAGAAAAGGCTTAAATGGCACGGCTTTAGCATATTAACCTAAAAAAAGTCATAGTTGTTTTCAGCAGACAAATTGAAGCAAACTGATTTTATTGTCACTTTAAATTTAAGTTTTTGAGTGTAATTATTGAAGTGCTATAAAATGTAAGAGTTGTTAACACTTACATAATATTTTTTAAAATAATATCAAAAGCCTGACTTTAAAAATGTGGAAAAAGTATTTTTTTTTGTTGGTAAATATTATGGTACTCTTGCAATATAAGTACTCCTAAGCACCACTGGAGGAGCAACCGTCCATAAAATCTATATGTAAATCTTCACTTCATCACTTACAAGTTGTCCAAAATGCAGCAGCTAGTCTTTTAACACTAAAAAACATGAACTTGTGTCTCCGGTTTTGGCTTCTCTCCAGTGACTTCCTGTTCACTTTTTGATGAGTTTTATGATTTTACTGGTTATTCTTAAAGTTTTAAATGGTCTGYCCCCATCATACCTTTTGTAATCTCTTATTCACGCTGAGGACTTTGGTCGTCCAACCAGTTTTTCTTAGATGTTTCTAAAGCCAAGCTAAAATTCAGAGGTGATCAGGCTTTTGCTGTTCCTGCCCCAAACCCGTGGAATGGTTTATGTTTTAATATTCGGACAACTGAGACAGTAAAAACTTTTAGATCTATGCTTAAGACCCATCTTTACTCCTTGGCTTTTGATTCTGGCAGAGTTTGAGATTCCTTTAAAGCTGATGGTTTTATGTTGTATTTTTGTATTTTATTTTAACTGAACTTAATTTTGAATATGTCTGTGTTTCTTTGTCGTTGCTGTTGTTTTATGTTCATCAGGCCGAATTGTAGAGAATTTGGCAAACTTTGTTGTTTTATGTGCTATATAAATACATTGACATTGACATATGAATAACCTTAAACAGACATCACTGTAAAAGTTTAAAATATATACTATTATTTGTATGAACCTATGTAAAATGTTTATAACTTTTCTACAAAAKCTCACTCCATTCAGTTGTGTTATCAGTCCTTTTCCAGTAGCTCAACTATTTCCCATTTTTCACACAGTCGCGCTACATCTATAGCTGTAAATCCAGAGGAGTCTTGCTGTGTCCGGTCTACTCCGTTCAGCAGCAGAGCCTTGACGGTGGGCACACAGCCATGTTGAGCTGCCAGGTGTAAAGGTGTGGCCTTTTCAGAGTTTACTGCATTGACATCTGCCTTGTATAAAACCAGATGAAGAACACTTTGGAAACAGAGATTTTTACAGGCTATATGAAGGGGTGTCCACCCCTCACTGTCCTCTTTGATGTTTGGGTCAGCGTTGGCTGACAGGAGTTTTGCCACCACCTCTGGCTGACTCTGGTTGCAGGRGAGGTGTAGCGGAGTCCATCCACTTTGACCTTTTGCGTTCACAAGAGCGCCGAGACTCTCCAACTGTGCCACGACAGCTTCGTGTCCCCTCTGAGCTGCCAGGTGCATAGGAGTCCACTCCTGTAGGGTCTTTGATTCTGGGTTGGCGCCCTTGGTTAGCAGCTGTCTGCATATACCTGCATGACCGTTCAGAGCAGCCAGGTGAAGCGGCGTGCGTCCTCTGCTGTCTGCACTGTCAACGTTCACCCCACTTTTCAACAACTGTCTGACAATGCGGTTGTGGCCTTGCTCAGAGGATAAATGAAGAGCGGTGAAAAGAGAGCTGTCGGTAGCATTTGGATTCGCTTTGTGAGCAAGGAGAAGCTTGACGATGTTAAGATTTCCATAGAAGGAAGCAAGGTGGAGCGGCGTCCTCCCCAGTTTCTCCTTTTGATCTACAGAAGCCTCCTTCAGCAGCCGTGAAAGCAGCAGGCGCACCACTGTCTCATGGCCATTCTGGCAGGCCAGGTGGAGCGGCAACCATCCTGCTTTTTCCTGAGCATCTGCCAAAGCTCCTTTGTCCAACAGGAGACGGACAGACCTGTCATCTCCATTCTGGGCAGCAAAATGTAGCGGTGTCCACTGGTCTTCGTCCCCCTGCATTGCATCTGCTCCGTGCTCCAACAGCAAAACGATGATATCATAAAGCCTATAGGGAAAGGAGATTTTTTTGTTGTTGTTGTTGTTGCTGTTGTTTAATGGCTCTTATCTTTTCAGTAGAAAACAAGCTAAAGTAAAGGTTTTCTAGTTTTTTTTTCACCAAACTAAAAGCTCTCCAGCTAACGTGAACTGTAAACCCAATCCCTTTTATTCTAGATCATTTTAACTGCATGAATAAGAGTTTTAGGTTCAGCGACTGGATAAGTCTGGCTGATGCCTTACAACTGAGAGACATCAAGAAAAACTCAGATAAGGGAGAACAACAGTATTTTCTGATCAGACGTAGATCAGTCAAATGTAATGTTTGACTGAAATTTAAATACGTGTTTGTTTCTTCTGAAAAACGAACACTCCTCAAAGAAAAAAAAACAGTTGTATAGAAAAGAGAGAGTGACCCTCTATATGTCCAAATCTCTAGAACAGAAAGGTTTCAGTAACATTTTTAAGCTAAAAGATTATTAAATAACTACTAAACTGCATAGAAACATCTTGGTGCAGTTTAAGTCTAAACTGGATTCATGCATTGCATTTTTTTTTTTACAAATCTAAATCTAGCTCTATCATTTATTTTTTTGAAAGTATGTGACACTATACAACTTGTAGCATTTGAAATTTCTATGGCAAATTATGTTTTCAATTTACATTAAAATATATGAAAACATTTTTGTAATAACCACTTTAGTCTGTTATTTCCAAGTCTCAACTAAACAAAGAATTGGGCATTTTTAAAACTACATTAATCTTTTCATCACAAAATTGGCAATTAAGAACAGGTAAGGTGTTGAAATCCATGTTTGAGCTCTCATATTTTACAAACTTTGTGTGTCTTACATTTCTTCAGTTGTGAAATATAAATCAAAATGAACTAAACTGCTATGGGTAAAAACAGTAAGCTATTCATGACTAAATGATATCTATAACTCAACATTGAAACCACTTATATTGCCATCAGTGTAATGTACAGTATGTAGAATTGCTTGTATGAGTTTTAAAAAGTAAGACTGGTTGTGTTTCTCCAACAAATAAATCAAGACTTTTTTTTACATTTCAGTTCAACGAAAATCTTTCATTAAAGGCAAACTATAACTGTTGAGGAAGTGTCTGACAACATCTTACAAAGCTAAATTGAATTTGATCTGTTTCAGGTCATCCAAAAATATTGGTTTTGTATTGTACTCTTATCAAGGTCTCTGAGGGAAAAAATATAATTAGAGTTATGTAATGAATTCATATTTATACTTCACAAAATGTCAGCACACACTCCAATGACAACAACTCATCCCACATAAAGCACATTTTGAGCACATTTCCATACAGACCTTTGCAGAACAGCAACAATAAGGGGAGTGTAACCTCTGGCCGTTGTACAGTTGACCTCTGCACCCAGATTCAGGACGTGCTTGACACTTTCCAAATCTCCGCTGGCTACCGTGTAGTGAAGGAGACTCATTTGGCCAGCAAACTGTGTGTCTACGTGCTCTTGTTTCACAGACTGCCTGAAACTACTGAAGTCCTTTTTGGAAAGCAGAAACAGAATGCTGTCGTTGCCATGTTGGTCATCTGTGAAATGGAAAGAAAGGGCAGAKATGCTAAGCAGAGTGTGTTGACCTTTAAATGATTTTTTGAGTTTATGTTTTTTCCCCTCTTGGTTTTATAGTAAAAAGTTGTATACTTGTGTATAAAGTGATAATGAAAGAAAAACATTTCTGTGTTTATTAGTGTTTAAAGAAATCAACACCATCTGTTGTTTTTTTTTTAAAGATCATGAGAAGCCTATCTCTAAGTAAGCTAAAAAATAAGTTTCTGATTTTGTGAGGGTTTATTTAAGGACAGATCTGTTTTCTCTGCCAAGACACTATCAATCCAATTTAATATCACGTAAATGCTTCAATCTGATAAAAGGTTAGATTCGAAGAGCCAACCACATGGCCACACATGTGTAAACTTAATAAAACCACAAATTAAAATATATAAAGGAAATTTAATCAATTCTGGATTAGGTGGGGTTTTAACACAAACCGCTTCATCCTGAACATRCACACTTAGTCAAGTATTAAAACTCCAACATTTGTTTTGTTAAGGTTATGAGATTTTCTTTTATGTGTAAATAGGATCGTGTCCATTTAAGTGGGAAAAATATTTTATCTCCTCAAGAACAAGTATATACTGTATATATATATGATTTTCTATATACTATGATTTTCTTTTCCTTTTTTTTTTTTTTTGCACATAACAGGGTTTTTTTCCATATGTGCTTACCTGACAGAAGATCTGACATCTCAGGCAATGTGATCTAATGAAGAAATGACAGAGAGCACAAAAAATGAGCATGTGTGTTCAAATGCTCCTTTAGTGACTCACACCTAAACTGCTATTATGTTTATAGACAAACAATTGTTAAAAATACCATAAACCTTTATTCTGGTAATTGGTATTTTATGTCAGGTGTGTGAGGAAAGCAAAAAGCAAGACTAATTGAGAGAAAAACAAGAGAAAACAGACCCTGAAACACAGAAACTATAGACCATAATACCAACTAGAAATGCTACAACCCCAATAAATGAAAGCATCAAGCAGAACTAACTTCATGGTTGGTGGAGAACTGACACATATAATTAGATTTCTGTTCCATGTRGCCATTTTTCTGATAGTGAATTGGTCCTTGGATTTTTGAGCTGTCATTCAAAGCTTCTATTTTCTTCACAGTGTCTGTAAACAAAAATTTAAGACAGAACTGTTTAAAAAAACTTCCTTTCTCCTAATTGCATTAGTCATGCATGAATTACAGCAAAATTGTTTTAAGGTTATGGTAATTGTTTTTGGAAACAACTCAAATTGGCATGTCCGCTCTTTTAGGCATAAACATGAAATTCAAATAAACAAAAATGAAAATCAAACGTAAAACATTCTATCAAACTCTATACAAACAAAGCCCTAAAATTCTAATGAATTTGAATGAACAAGCTTTAAAAGTTTTTCTTTTACTTAATTGATAAAAATAACTAGATATATTTCTTCCCCTATTTCAGTATTTTTATTTTCCGTTTTTAAATAATGTACCTGAAAACGTTGGCCTCTTCCAGGGATCTTTGTCCCAGCATTGTTTCATGATGCAGATCAGCTGATCACACTCCTGGGGCCTGCAATCAGGAATTGTTTCCAGGTTGGGTCTCTTGCCTTTTGACGTCTGCAAGATCACTGTTGTCACACTGCAGCCTGTAATACACACAGAGAGTGAAAATATGTAATATAATGCATAAATCCTGTTTTTGTTTTCTATAGGCCTATATAACTGTACCAACAGGACAATGTGCTGAAAATAAACCAGGTTCAAACCAAACTGGATTATCTCCAGAACATTTCAATGCAGTAAAAACATGTCTTATTTTTATTTGCTTGTAACTTATTATTTGGGTACACACAGACAAATTTTGTGCAACTGATTAAAAAGACAAATCATTTTTATACAGCACTTTATTCTGTAATGTAATTACAGTGGGTAAAATAAGTATTGAACATGTCACCATTTTTCTCATTAAATATATTACTAGAGGTGCTAATGACATGAAATTTTCACCAGATGTCGGTAACAACCCAAGTGATCCATACATACAAAGAAATCAAACCATAAATGTCCAGAAATGAAGTTGATGTAGATGTTGAAGTAGATGAATGTCTGCTGGAGGAAGATACCAGATCCCTGACTCATAGCGGCTAAAAGGAATTAATTAAATG